TCGTTAATAGGTGCGGTGCTTAATACTTTGTAATCAAAGAGTTGCGGCTGTATGCGTACGTGTGTGTGACGAGCGCTCTGCGTGCATTTCGTAGCGCGCGCGGGCGTGGTATTGGCGCGCTCACACCGGCGATGCAATCTAGTCGCGCGATAACTTTCATCGCAAAAGCAACCATTGCGGGAAAGAAAGCGACACGATTTGAGCAGTCGCTACAGGCGCATTCCCCCCGGCCTTTTGCGATGCGATCTAGCCGCGGAGCGGCTGTTCGGAGCGAAAGTTTTCGAGAAGCGACTCGCCAACGAAGGCGTTGGACTAGCTCATCGCGCACGCCAGTGTGACTATCTAATTTTTTTTTAGATGTGATCTAGTCGCATCGCACGACTGCTTTCATCGCCGGTGTGCACACGCCTAAGATCGGACGCATGGGCCCGTGTTTCTTGCGACGCACTGACACACTAGTGACAGTTATCGCATTGCAATTTGCTGTTTTCATCTCCTTTCTTGTTTTATTTTGTTTTTTTTTGGCGGCCGGCCAGCAGACGTTTTCACGTACTGGCACAAGCCTTTCTGCACGCCCCCCCCCCCCCTCCGGCCCCTCGGACACACGCACAATCGCTCTGTACAAATAAAGACCGTTATGAGCCATGCGAACACTTGACGCTGTCTCGTATGCTTGTCTGCTCTAGCGTTACAGCCCATGACAAACTGCTGTATGAGGGGGAGGGGTAGAGGAGGCCCCGGCCAAATGGTAGATTTTTTTCTTTTGGAGGGGGAGGGGGGGGGGGGAAGGGGGGAAGCCGGGCCCCATGGGCAGCCCCCCTGCCTACGTGCGTGATTGTAGCATTGTTATTGGAAGAAAAGCAAAAAGTGAATTGAATGCAGCTTGTAATTTTTTTTTTTTTTTTGGTATTGTTGCAGCTTTGGGATTGTCTAGGGCCGAGCGGTGTGCTACCGGAGCCAGAAAAAAACTGGTCTGCCCTACAACGTCCTCCTGGTGTTCAAGGCTGACAGCGGTGAAGATACAGAATCAAAATGCGCGTGCCCTGCTGGTGCATGGGGTGCGTGCAGCCATATAGTTGCTGTTCTACGGCTGTTTATTTTGTTGAAGAAAGAGGGATTTAAAGAGGCACCGCCTGACCTCTCATGCACAGAACTTCCCCAGCAATGGGGGCGCCCTCGCCGACAAGGCATCACGCCGATAAGCGTCCAGGATGTAGACTGGGGGAGTTTTCGGGAGGGTGGTATGGAGATGGCAATGCCAGTGCAGCTCTACGATGCACGAGCTGAGAAGCACGAGGACGAACAACAAAAACTGCAGTCTTTTCATGCACTAGGAAGGGGCCTCGAGAACATTGGAAACTTTGACTTCGCGTCAGTTCTCCTAGCAGCACGAAGGCAGTCTGTGTAAACAAAACTCGGACCTGCCCCTGCCGGCTCTCCAATGTCCTACCAGCAAGCTCAACTACCTGCAGGCTTCAAACATGGATGTCGGACAACATTGTCATGGGAGCAGGCACCATGAGCTTAGTCCCAGCACAGTCTCTCTTCAACAGAGCTTCACAGCCCACATTCCCTGGCGGGTTGAGCGCTCAAGAATAGAGCATATTGACAGTAAGTGTTGTCGATGCGGATGACATGCCATCAAGGGTGTCATCAACAGTGCTGCCACAGTGCCCATGCTGTTCGTTCAGGCGGTGATAGGGTAAATCATTTTGCTGGCTGCGAGCAGTGTTCCACAACAGCAATGGCACAAGTAAATGCGTCTTACATGTAATGCACAGCTCGTGAAGATAAACCACAGCCGGACTGAATGCACAGTCTCTCACGGCCTGTGCAATGCGGCGTGAAACTGCCTTTAGTACTATTGCGGACTCTGTTAGCTATAACACAGCAGCCGTGGCTGATCCCTACCCCTTTCAGAGGGCAACTGCTATAGCAGTTGCCCTCTGAAACACCGCACCTAGTCTGTGCGCCAGAATTGTCCTTCCAGGTTGCGACCACACAAGGTCACAACCAGGAGTGAGCATGCGCAGGTGGAACAGTGGATGAGAAGAGCTGCAGCGCCTCATGCAGAACAGCATGCATGCTTCTTCAATTCCGAAGGTTGTATGAAAGCACAGGAATCCAGTCCGGCCGTGGACAAACAAACACAAGTGTTGTAACACTTCACTAGTGTCGTATTGCACGAAGCACTGAACAACATTAAAATTTGGGGTCAAAATCAGATTTCATGTAGCGATGATCAGCGTAAATATCAAAACAAGCTTCGCTTAACACCGATTCCCACATAATGTGGGATCCACATATTTTATTCTGTCCTGCTTTGCTTTGTCGCCAAGCAACAATGTAGCTGCACGGTGTACGACCGCTCCAAAGCCAGCCTGGTCACGTGCAGCTGAATTTGCGCTTGATGCCTAAGCGAGACCAGCTGCAAAACACAAAGCTAAAATGCACCTTAAAGCCTGGAAAGACTTTGATGCACACTGATTTACTTTTTGTGGGGGTGGTAAAAAGCGTTCACAGTTTAAGAGTGAAAGGTTGTTCCAGCTATCAGTCGCAACAAGTGCAGAGATTGTAAGGGTGGGTAAATTTGCGGGTTTACATGCTGAACTAGCGAATGGCATATTTGGCACGCCCCAGTGGGAGACAGGGTTAATTTAGACCACCTGGCAATTTTTGACAGCAACCCAACCCCAATCTGAGTTACACAGTGCCTCTCCGCATTAAGTCTTAGTCAAGTTGCGGGCAGCTCGGCCAATATTCAAACACGCCGACTGGGGATCCATATGCTAGCACTTTGCATCTGAGCCACCTAGGCGGCTAGTGTGGCAAGTGTAAAATGCTGTAACCAAAGAATGAGCTGTTAAACACTTGTATTGTCCTCTCATGGCATATTCTGTTTTTCGCAGGAAATCCAGCTTTCACCAGAGGAGGCGAGAGACCTAGAGCGTAATACCAGGCAGCAGCGACACAGTCAACGCTGGAAAAAAGCACGGTGAACAGACTAACTGCATCGCGTTTTGGATGTGTCATCACACGCAAAGAGTGGACGGAGAAGGGCCTCAAGAACCTAATTGAGCCAAAGGACCTGACACGCGTTCGTACTGTTCAGTACGCGATAAGAAACGAAAGCGTGGCCAAGGATCGGTATGTTGCTGTGATGAAGTACTATGGACACAATGTGTCAATTCAGCCCAACGGCCTATTTGTAGATCCATCATGCCCTGGCTAGGTGCAAAGCCCGACGGACTAGTCTATGACCCAGAAGAGCTGTCGTACGGTGTTCTAGAAGTCAAGTGCCCACATTCTCTCAAAGACAGTGAGCCACACTATGCAAAGAAACAAAAATTTTCTCTAGTTTTTGAAGAGAATGACAAGCCACAGCTAGACAGAGACCACGATCACTATGCCCAGGTTATGGGACAGATGGCTCTGACTGGCTGTTTGTGGGGCGAGTACATTGCTTGCTCGGAGAAATGGATCGGCGTGGACCATATTCGATTTGATCAAAATGAATGGCTCGAAATGCGCAAAAAGCTGGACAGCTTTTTCTTTGCGTACAACGTTCCCTATCTTGTCAGGAGGCAGGACACGTGCTAGTGTCTAAAACAAAAGGCAATGAGCAAAAGCCACTTTGAGAGTGGAAATGCTTTCCTCAAATTCCTAAGTAGCACACTTGACCGGCGCAAGCTAGAGGCATACTTGGGCCAAGCTTGTGCCGGTCAAATGTGCTACTTGAGTTAGGTAGACATTGCGACATTGTTAGCGCAAACACAACATAACTGCATTTTCTCATTTACTTCGAACGAGTATTAGTGGGGTGCAAAATTTTACCGCCTACATTATAGTCCTAAATGAGCCCTTTCCATTAAATAAAAACTAATTACACCGTTTCGATTTCAAAAGAAAAACAAAAAAATGTGATGCTTGTTTGCACTAACAACGTCGCACTCTGTACGGCACCATACATTTCAGCACTATTGTTATGGACTGTAAAGGCGCCCTGGTGTAGCCGTGTAGGTGGAACCTTACGGATTGCTGTGTTTGCAGTAGTTATTGCTTTCCGACGTTCATTTCCAAGCTGTCTAGTGAGAGGTGTTCGTGCTAAAGATGTTGAGTTACATACATTTCTGGATCTGCATGTTGGTGATATTCACTAGTCGCAGCTAGAGCTGTAATCAGCAGACACTACTGCTGAACTGAAAGTGACATTTTGTTCTAAATTTTATTTTGTTCCCATTCAATGTGGGACCGACAGATAAAGAAGAATCAGGAGCGCCATATTTAGCTCTACTTTAAACACCGGTTCATTTGCACAGATTTCTTTCCATTTTAGTTTGTAATAACAGGTTTGCAATGTTCAAACATTATTTGTGTGACTGCTTGCGTGAATATACCATGTCTGCCTCATGCCAGTCTCAAGCACCCTGTCACAAAATAAAGTGTTACCGTAGATTCTACACCAACTCGTTTGTAAATAAACCCGTTTGCTCACAGCAGCTGTGGGCACCGCGCACTTGCAGAGGCCTGTTTACGAACGAGCTACGCATATACGCATGCTCCGTTGCGAGGCCAGTGTTGCCGAATGGATGCGACGTCGGAGACCTGAATTTTGTATATGGTGGGAACGAAAAATACGAGCAATACAAAAGTTTCAGAATTTATGCAGTTTTAATATCTTGTCGAACTTTGGCACAGCATGCTATCACACTACTCTGCAACCGCTAGGGTGACCACATTCTAGAAACAAAAACGCATTCAATGCAACTGTTTTCCCCCAAAAAATGCACAAGCATGGTGTCCAGAATAAGGAGTTTTTGCTGCGAGGGAGAGATAGGGGTTATACTACGTCGCACAACAAGAAAGTTATTTTGTGAAAGCCCACAGGCTAATACATGTATGGCCTCCATACTTGTCACTACCCAGTCCACCGTTTCAGGCACGCTACCCAAATGCCGAATAAGCGAGCACTGAAAATTGCTGAGGATTGCTGACACAATTCAAATCTGGTTAATCAGTGGAGCCAAGGTAACAGGTATGGGCCGATCAAAAATGTGATACGCCTTTATCTTTTGTATCCTTCGCTCCACATGTATTCGCAGTGAGGCAATCTCTTTGGTTTCTTCGACTTGACTGGGCGAGAATATGCGGCCCTTCAAAAATGGGGACAAGTTCAGCTTCACATCTCTTTTTTCCAAAAGGTCGTGGATGCGAAACCCTTTATCCGCCATTACAGCATCACCAGCATCAAACTCTAAGTCTAGAAATCCACTGCTTATAACACACTCTCTGTCTGAACTTCGGCCTGTAAAAAGCTCTGAAACAAAAGCTACAAGCCCGTTCGGAGAGACACCAATAAGGCCCTTGAATGTGTTTGTGGACTTGTATGACGAATAGGTACATGACTGGAGAGACAAAGAAGAGGGCACCTCACACTGAATTTCAGTGGCATCCAAAATTGCTCGTGTCGACGCATAGTTTTCAGCAAACTCTGGTGGCATGGTCGCATCAACTGTTTCCCAAGGCGCCCACAGAGGCAACACGTTTAGTTTGGCATACAGAAAGTTCATCCACGATTTGCAAATTCTTGAGACTGTCGATTGTGCGATAAAAAATCTATGAGCTAAATGTGCCTCAAGTAGACCAAGGCGTAGCCGAACAAGAACTAGAAATAGTTCGTTTTCGGTGCTCAGCTTTCGTTTACGCCCCTTCAATGATCCTGTTCCGCTGCTGCTCTCTGCACGTAAAACGTTGCAGCCACCATCCCTGGGGTTGATGTAAAGAAGCAAGTCAACAAAGTGTTCGTAATTTGGAAGGCCGGTATAAAACATAACGTCTTCATCACTGTCCTTGAATTGTTGGATGGTAAATCGAGAAGCGTCTTCTTTTTCTTGAGCAAGTTGGCAATCAAGAGAGATCTTCTCTGCATGCGGTTCCCGAATTGTTTCTCTTGCCATTTCCAACTGAGAAGTCCACACTCATCTCGAAGCCTTCCAATTTCTTTGTTCAAGCCTTCAATGATGCTTGCCAGACGTGTACTGTCTGTTGCGGGTAATGTGCTGTGGTCAGTAGGCTCCAGTGGGTTTTCAGCTGCAGCCTGCACTTCGTTTGTGCAACACACAGCTGGATCATCCTGCATAGTGTTGTCTATTTGTTGGGATCTTGGCGCTGGTGCATTAGCCTTTAGCTGTGGCGGTGCACGCTTTTTTGGAGGCTTTCGCCCTATTTTCGTTTTGGAAAAGGAGAAAACGGATGGCACTGCCGTATCACGAAGTAGCTTTCGGCCACTCACAACGTTGGGTATGTAGTCACTTTCATGAAAGTGTTTCGAGCACAGCTTCGTCCACTTGCTTACTTGAAACTCGGGGCCTTCATCTCTTCTGTTTGCGACAATCCATTTTTTGTAGACCATGGGATCTTTAGGGAAGCGATGGAAGGATACCTACAAGGAAAAAGCAGAAGGAAAGTTTAATGAAATATTTCAAGCAGGGCTCACTTTCACTCTGGCTCACAAATAGCCAAGCATAGTTGCGAATCACCAGCAGTGTTCGTGAATGAATGCGCGCAAATGCCATTGCAAATGCATGTATTGAAGTAACCCCAGAGGCAACGTGAGCTGAAACGCTCGATTCGGCCTTAGTCTACGTATGCGGTTTCCACAAGCTCCATAATTCTCAATTTCTCAAATAATTCAAAATACGGCGTCTTAAATATGCATTTCAAATCTAGTTAGAACCACAGCTGTGTGAAAAACTGGCAGGTAGGCAAAAGAAGCACGAAGGGCTGTTTTAGCTCATGTCCACGATTGCAGAGTCGGGTACGGTCTGTACGCGATCGCGCGGTTCGGCCGCGAGCGTGGGCCGGTCTCTCGGAGGCCAAGGGCCCACGGCAAACATCTAGCTATGTCTCTATGAAGGGGCGATAAACAGCAAGGAACCGCGACACGTTCCCTTCACCCAGCTTAATCCTTGCTCGCCGGCCTCTGTGACCGCCTCCAAATCGCTCCTGCCACCGAACTTACATAGTAGTAGTTTTCATATACAGAACACGGAAATTAAAAATCTGTATTGTTCCCCACTACACTTTGCGAGTGTAGTTGCTTTGACAAAGCGAAGGCTGGTCTGTCGGAAACATCTAATCCAGCCGCAACGTCGCCCGGCACGCACGCAGAAAACATCGACTACTTTTTATGGCCTTTCATTGCAGTAAAAAGCCGCGACTCGGCCTCTACGTTCATCCAATAAGGCAGACTCCACGTTACCGTGCAAAGAGAACGCCCCGCGCACCGTACAAGACCCTCGATCAGCGTGCTTGCAAACACTCGGTCCGGACGAGAGCAGTATGAAGCGACTTCACGCACCGCTTCTTCGGCACTTTCCGTCTGCTTCGTTTATTGCTAAGAAAGCAAACTTTGTGCCACATACCTTATTTCCATTGCTGTCCTTGATTCCTCGCTGTTTGCACAACGGCGCGCAGCAGTGTACAGGCATTTTGCCGGTAACGAACGGAACGGTCTCGCAGCACGCAAACCAGGGGCCCTAATCTGGACACTTGGCGAAAAAGTCGGCGAGAAATCTGGCGGCTGTGATTGGCCGACGCCGCACTTGACCTTAGGGCCAGCCTATCATAGCCGTCAGATTTCTCGCCGTCCTTCTCGCCAAGTGTCCAGATTAGAGCCCCAGACCGGCTCCGCTTCTCGCCAACATCAAAATGGCGGACGGGCTTCTTTTTGCATTCACCAGATGGCGCAGCTAATTTCGCATAAGGCCTATTGTAAACGGCTTTCATTTTTTCAATCAACGTATTTGCAGCTTCTTGGAAGCCACATAAAATGGGTTTCATACATTTTTTTTCTATTTTTAATATTGACTGTGTGCCTTCAATGACCCACGACTTTTATTAAATTTGGTGGTCGCGTTGAAACCTTAGAAAACGGCCCGTGACCACAGAAAAGAGAGTGAGCGCGACTCAAACCGGCCAGTTCTCGATCGGCGGTTTTCGGGCGGAACGAAACCGAATTTCGGGCCGCAAATTCTGTTCTGGGCAGTTGGGCTCTTATATGTCACGTACAACTAAAAACCTCGGCGAGCATAAATACCTTGTCAGTGTCCCTTTAAAACACAATTCGAAATGTCCTAGGAACGTTCGTACGCAAACATTCCCTGCAGAAGCTGCTCAACATTCTAGGAACGTTCGTTGGCGAACATTCGTATGCACAATGTTCTCGGAACGTACCCCTTCGAACATTCATATGGGCAATATTTTTGGAATGTCCGCTTGCGAACATTCCTGGAATTTTCGCAGGTGAAAACTTTAAGGAGCTCTGACGCAACCTGTGGTTCGAAACACCATCTACTCACTATATGCCCCTTTGTTCAAGAAATATGGAAATTAAGTGGAGTTTCTGGAAACTTAGCATAAGGGATCAGGTTTATCTTAAATGAGTCTACCGAGAAATCTGATATAAGGTGTAGGAGAAAAGCAATGGTTTTCAAAACTTCATAGTATACTTGGCACTCACTGCGTATGTAGAGGGGCAGTTTTGAATGGACCAGATTTTTATTATCTGGGGTTTAAAAATTTGAAAAAAGTATTTCCTAATTGAATGTGGGATGTCATGTGTACTTCTTCTTAAGGGCCCATGAATCAAATTTCGGGCTGGGATAAATATATTTAGATTTGATTCTACTAATAGCACATCGTTCAGAGGGTCAAAAGAAAAAAATGTAGAAAGTCAAAAGCCTGACTTTCGGTACGAAAATTTGAAAACAGAGCGGACTATTTCGTACCTTCCCTCTTCGTAAGCTCTCTGCCTTTTCACTGCGATACATCCACGGTCCCCAAAGCGCGTCACCGGGTCCAAACGCACGTCACACGACACCGGACCTCACTTCTTCCCTTCACCCCTAAGCTGACATTGTGGTGGAAGCTACGCGCTTGCCGGACCAATCAGCCGCCTCCCTTTCATCATCTTACCTCGTTCTCTGCGCGTGAGTATGCGTGAGAGAGCGTGATCGCGTGGAAAACTTGTGACTGGCCCAATGAGCACGTAGCTTCCACAGCACTGTCCGCTTCGGGGTGCACGGGGTGGGGAAAGCAACCTTTGTCTGAATTTTGAGCGACGGGTTAGTCTTCTAGGGAGACAATGGCTGTGTCCGGGTACACATACGAGAATCCGAGCAGGAGGGGACTCCCCCCTTCCCATCTTGTTGAACTCTTTGGTAGAATATGCGATTTATGATTTGAGGAGGAAAAAAGTTAAACAGGAAAAAGTTTGAAAAGCGTTTCAAGACCAATTTAAGCTCGGAGTGAGCAATCGGTTGCGCAAACAGCATATTTTGAATTAAAGGAAATTAAAAACAGCGCGGAAAGACGAGGACCAGACAAAGAAGTGACACGGACGTAGCGCTGACTTACAACTGAGTTTAATGAACGGAAACTCGCAATATATATTTGCGGTGTCACGAACAAAAAAAGAAAAAAATTCAGCCCATGTGATGTATCACCAATAAAAATAAAACAATGATAAAAAACATTGAAAAAACATTGAAAAAACATTGAAAATGAAAATGAAATACGCCATGACACAGCCGTACAAAGTATGTGCTAAAAATCGAGCAAGTCACGGAACCAGAAAATTCAACTCTTTACCTGATAGGGCCACGGAAGGACTGCTTACACATGCTGCACCCAACCTCGCTATCTCAACAGCCTCTAGAATTTCCCGAGTAAGCTGGTCCCTATGACGCTTAACAACCTCACACCGTTGGAAGTCGGGAAGGCAACCACAGTCGCGGCAATGAATGCCCAGGTGACCAGACACGGTTGTAGAGACACTGTAAGCGTGCTCTCTCAACCTGTCGTTGAGACAGCGGCCCGTCTGGCCAACGTAGCGCCTGCCACACGTCAGAGGGAGAGAATACACAACCCCCTCCGAACACGGAACGAAGCGATCTCGATGCTTCGTACTGCATCCCGTGGCCGCCCTCGAAGAAGGGTTAACAGCTCTGCACAACCTGGACAGCTTGTCCGGGGCAGAGAATAAAACATCGACGTCACACCTGCCAGCAATGCGTTTTAGGTTGTGGGACAGGCCGTGTACGTAGGGAATAACCACAAACTTTCTTCTTTCCCTTCCCTTTCTGTTGTTGGCCTCTTCTTCACTTCTCATAGGGCTGCTCTTGATATCTTTCAGCAAAGACTCGGCGACCGTTGTTAACACGTGAGAGGGAAACCCAGCAGCTGCGAGGCGTTCAGTTTGCCTGTCAAAGCTATGTTTAATTTTATGATAGCAAGACCTACGCAGCGCATGTGTATAGCAAGTCCTTGCAATCGCCCGCTTGACAGTTTTTGAGTGAGCGGACTCGAATGGCAACAATGGCTTTCCAGCACGGGGTTCATAGCTCCAACAAAGATGACCTGGACATATAGTTAAATTCAAATCCAAAAAACGGATGCATCCTGCCTCAGGCACTTCATGAGTCAGGACAAGTGGCGAAAGGCAATGACTAAAAATTCCTAAAACGTCAGTCATTGACGAAAGAAAGGATACGGCATCGGCATGAAACAAAATCAGAAAATCATCTACATACCGGAAGACCTTTGCAACTTTGGTTCCCCCAAGCCGTTCAAAGATGATGCGGTCAAGGCTCGCTAAAAACAAGTCGCTAAGTACGGGGGCAATGCAAGAACCAATACATACCCCTTGCCGTTGCAAAAAGATGTTACCCTCCCAAGTCGCAAAGGTCGACCTCAGATACATATCAAGGAGTTCCATGAAGCCTTCAACTGAAATTCCCGCAGCATTTTGAAAGGCAACTACACCAAACACATCGATGCAGTCACGAATGCAGGTAAGGAGTCCATTATGTGGCAAGGAGTAATACAAATCCTTAATATCGAATGAACAGGCCATAAAGCTTGTGCGCTGGTTGTCTTTAAGAAAAGAAATGACATT